ACCAAACAACATGGAATTTCTACTATTTGACTAATTTGCAGATTCTTATCAATCATAGCTCATTGACAAACTCAGTTGAAGGAATTTTATTTTTCAGAAGTATAGGCTAGTATTTTTTTAACTATTCAGTAATCCTTTGGATAATTCTAAAAAAGTTTGCTTCTATTTTTGGTATAAATCTGTAATGACATCTACATCTCCACAAAATGCATGTTGGTACTCACCCCATGGTATAGGTAAACTTGTGGTAATACTTCCTATTGTTTCTCTTGTTACCATCTATCATACACTGTATTTTCAAAAGTGTGAAGGACAAATTCCATTCATTTATTTTTTCTAATTTGCTCTATGTTATGTTTTGTGACATTTTTAATATTCTTTTATTTTCTGTTTTTCAGATGAATTAGGGGCAGTTAGATGAATTTAGGCCTAGGTTGTTATTAAAATCCTTTAAAGTAGCAAGATACACAGCATTTTCATTTATATTTATTATATACATATTAATCATAAAACATATTAACATAAGAACATATCAACATAAAGAACATCAAGGATGTATAATTGCAATAATATGATTGCCTAATTTGGAACAATTCAGTACAATTTCATGTATAAATTGCATAGCATACCATACATATAGTACTTTTTTATGCAGTCGTGCAATTTTTTCAAATAATTGATAACGTAACTCAACCTTGACAGGAAAAAAAATCTTGAAGTGTCTGCCAGATATTATGCCAAGTGACTTACCATGTTAACTGTTGCAGTTTAGGGTTGTTTCACTTACAGAAGTGAAACAATTTTGTAGAAAACATAGAAGTAGAGGATATTCAGTCATTCGTCAACTTCCATAAAACCCTGAACTTCTCTTTCTTATTACCTTATGCAATCTGTAGCAAGAGCTGTCTTCCTGAGTGATAGATTGTTTTTATATTGTCCTTTGTTTTAACCTGAATGAAATTATTTTGTCAGAAGTCAATATATATATGGGGGGGGGAAATCAAATAATTCAAATTCTGTCTTGATTTCATGCTCAGGAATGTATAACAAGGATTCAAACAGTGTCTTAAAACACCAGCCATTAAGGGCAAAATCATGCTGACTTTGTCTCAATTCTAAAGAGGAAAACAATGAAGAGGAAAACAATAAAGGTCTTACAGGTCTTGTGATTTTTTTAACCTGTTAATTTTTTTCAGACTAAGCCCTTGCATTGCTCTGGTATGAACTGTCTCAGCTTACTTTTTTTACTCTCTCTCTGAAACTTTCACTAGGAGAAATGGAGACTAGTTCTGAGGTTTGCAGAAGTTCTTGTCAATTCATCTGCTTAACTGAGAAGAAAAACTTCATGTAACCACATCAATGTTCCAGATAAACCTAATGGTCTCAACTAAAGTGGATGGGTCTGGTATAATTTTTGTTATAGAACGGTTCCATAATTTCTAGTTTCATAAATTACACTGAGCTCTTCATTTTACTTTAGTGACTGATTTCAGTTTTTCACATAGTGTTTAATCAGTTCTGTTCTACAATTTAGCAGAGCTGAAGAGAAGTAGGAATTTGTCTTCTCAACCTTTACTTAAAAATTATTTGGGACATGAGAGGTCGTTAATCTATGCTCTACTTAAATATGTTGCATAAAACACACATCCTTTATGAGAAATTTCTGTATGTGGTACTACTTATCTAGTAAAAATAAACTACATATTCATTATCCCCAGTCAGTTTTCATATTTTTGAGGAGTACTGTCATATGGCATAAGAACTGTGGTCGACCTGTAGCAAATAAAAAATTTTTTCCTTCCAATGTAGACCAATTCATGCTTACCTCCTAGTGTCACAAACCATGTCACTGCTTGATTAGTCTGTGCTATTTTCATAAGTCAAAGTTTTCTCACTTTCATTATGTGCCATATAGCATAAGTTATGCTATATATACAGCCTTTTCTTTCACTCTCTTCCCTCTACCCCAGAATCTTCAGTTTTGGCAACACCAGCAAAGCTGAGCCCTTCCCTAACAGAAAAAATGAGCAAACTTTCTTTTATATATCAAGTCAAAACCTCATTATTCTCTTTATTTTTGTGACTGCAAGCCACTGGTCTATTTTTAATTTAGTGATATAAGGACAAGAGAGAAATACTCTCACACTTATACTTGTTGCTGTGGTACACCATGCTAAAGACCCCAACAAAATACTTTGAGAACTGATAGAATGAGTAATGTTCCATGTTCACAGTAGCACACTCAGATTGCTCTTTCAAGAAGCTATACTGAGCACAAAAATCACATCCCAGGTTCCAAAAGGCTGTTGGGCTGAGCAAAGTGATAATATAATCAAGGAAAGACTGTTCTTATAATGGTCTACCTGTATATTTTTCTGCATTGAATTCCCTGCTAGCTGTCATTGTATAGTTTTTTACCATTAGTTTTTACGCTATAACATGAGGACATTTAACTTTTGGAAAGCTCTTGGGAATTTAGTATCATTACTTTTACTGATTTATTTCCTTAAATTAAAACATTGTGTGATATATTCCCTATCATAAAAACTGTATCTTACAGGCCCGATGAAACCAAAGTTTGACTGTGGAAATGCATAATCTGTTTTCTAATGCCTACTATAGTATTGCTCATCTATTAATGTTAATAAAACACTAGGTGACACAATCCAGAAATCAGCTTATATCCTGGGCTGCATAAAATGAGGTAGGGTCAGCAGGCTGAGGGAGGTGATTCTGCCCCTCTACTCTTCTGTCATGAGACTCCACTTAGAGTGCTGTGTCCAGCTCTGAGGTCCCCAGAACAGGAGTCTTGGACTTATCGGAGCAAGTCAAGATGAGGCTAAGAAGATGATTAGAGGGATGGACCTCTCCGATGAAGACAGGCTGAGAGAATTCAGGTTGTCCAGTATGGAGAACAGAAGGCTTCAAGGAGACCTTATAACAGCCTCTCAATATATAAAGGGGGCTTGTAGGAAAGCCAGAGAGAGACATATTACCAGACCCTGTAGTGCTGGAATAAGAGGTGGCCATTTAAATTTAAAAAGAACAGATTTAGTTTGCACATTAGGAAGAATTTGTTCATGATGAGAATAATGAGACTGGAACAGGTTGCATAGAATTGTTGTGGATGTTTCATCATTAGAAGTGTTCAAGGTTAGGTTGAATGGGGCTTTGAGCAATCTGGTCTAGCTTAATTTACCCAATATTTTCCTTGTATATTTCAAAAGAATACTCTGACTCACTATACAGTTCTGCTATTCTAATAGGGTAAAATATGCTTTTGTACTTCATGTGACAAACACCTAATCCCCAAAAACTGCTTAAGATAACTGTTTTAAGACTAAAAATACTTCAGGAAATTAAAAGTTTTCACTCTGGCTTATTAGTTAGTCTTTAGGTGTTCCAGGCTTATATGAATCAATTTTGCTGGCTTAATATGTATGTTCTCACCTACAGAACTGTTCTTATTAGCTTGTAAACTGCAAGATTAATCCAAGATCAACTTTTTTGAAGACTATACAGTGAGCATATATGACAACAAATTAATACGAATTTTCAATATAATAAATATTATTTTGGGTGGAATTTCACAAAAAAAAAGGAAAGTCAAGTATTGGTCACAACAGGGAAGCCTTTCGTTATTGGCTTCACAGGCATGTAGACATGTAGAGAGACTGCTCAACTACACTACCAGTCATGTTTTCCAGTCTGGATAGAATTAACTGTGTCATAGGTCTTTACGGTATAGTTTATACAAATAAACTACAAGGTATGCTGACACAATGGTGAGATACATCTAAAAGATCTTAGTGGCACAAAGTACTAATGTACTAATATACAGATATAAAATAAGTACTTGAAAATGAAGGTGTCAGTTGAAAGTGAATAAACTTTAAATGTCTGCTTTGCACAGTGCCTTTGCACAATGTCTTCTTTAATCTCAAACATAAGCACAAGTTACAAGTTTTCCCAAGTCATGTGAAGAAATGGTTCTTAGGTGTGTGAAACCATTTTATTCAATGGAATTTACTATTAAGCAGAGAAGTTATACTTACTACATCTAGAAGTTATACAAACTACATGTAGAAGTTATACAAACTACATCTGACCAAGTATAGGATTATCAAGCCATCCAAGGTTATGTCAAGCTGACTCTTGGAAATGGTTTAAAGTGTTGAAGGATGAGATAGTTTATTAAGGAACCAGTTTTTCTTCCTCCTTTTCCTAGGTATCCATCTTCTGGGGATGGACCTATACTTTGGTTATTAGGCTATATCATGAGACTCAAATAACTTTTTGTTTACCTGGATATCTGACTTTATATCAAATAAAGACTCTTAGGAATTAAAAGGAGGTGAGACAATGCAGTATGCCGAAATATTTCATTTTCTTTGGGTTTTTTGTTCATAAGAGACTGAGATGAAACAGCTAGTAGTAGAAGAAGAGAACTTGCATGAGTTTTTTTAGAAAAACAAAGTTACATCTAACAAAAGGTGGAAAATACTGATTTATTTTAAATTAATTTTATAATTGAGTATGATTTTGATTTAACAAACTAACTCATATAACAGTTACTGTCATTGATACCTGTTAAATGAATACAAGACAAATTTAGGCCAGCATGCCAGACTTTGCAGGACCCTGTTACACATTACTGATATCGAAGTTTTAAGTTCTGCCCCAAAGCTTTCAGAAATATTGTTCTTTTAGCCTCTCTGTTTTCCAGTTTATTGCCATTTTGGGCACGTGATATGTATACCATTATATTTTCCACTTGAACAAACAGTGTCCTTAATACAAAACTGCTTTTTTATTAAATCTGAAATTCTTGGGTTTTGATCAATTACCCAGTGAAAATATCCTGTCAACAACAAGTAAGTTTGGAATTTGCCATACTAAGACCTCCTAAAATTAACCATACATTTTACAGATACATATTTATGATATATGACAATGTTACAAATTAGAATCCTTTATACATCAGTCAATGAGATGTCCTCTTCTCTGATCTGATTTTCCCTAGTTTCTTTCACAGGATTGAATGCTTCCTCCAAATCTTTTTCTCTTAGGCAGGCCTGTCTGCTGCCCCTACGGCTTTAAAAAATAGAAAGATTGAAGTAAGAGCTCGGGATATAATTGCCAAGAGCAGAGTATCATTTGCAAATAATGGATTGTAACCCTTTACTTTCTCCCTGAACATAACAATTTCATAACACAAAAGATGATTAAAAAATATTCAAACTAAAATCGTCTCACCTCCTCTAAATTATTTAGCCTATGTATCTCACCATGACATTTAGGTATCTGAAATCTTAGTTCCTAATTTTTTGGTGATATTTATGTCTAGATACAAACTGTGATAAGGAAGACTCAAGTTAACTAGCAAAGTAAAGCTGTTAGATCCTAAAGTAAAAGAAATATGAAAGTTATTCTGTCTAGACATCCAAAGGGAGGAAGAGAAAGACAAAAAAAGTAATAATAAGCCAATAGAATGTAATATTGCATAGAAATCTACCTGTTTCAGAGGTATAGAATAGTTGCCAAAGCAATAAGAAAGTACATGTATAACTTTTTTTAGACAAGATATAAAATTAAAAAATACTCTATTTTATGTGTATATACATAGTATAACAAATATATATGATAATTAATTGCATTTATATGAAGATTTATACATTTCATTTCATGTAAATAAATTTAATATCCTCCATAAGTGATTTCTTTATTATTTCTAAACAGTTCTGACACTCATTTCGTTCCAGTATTCTTTATTCGTATCAGCAGTCTCTCTGACATCAGTTAAGTACATAGGTTAGAGTTAACTCTATCTAAAGGATTTATGATTTGGATTTACTAATACATCAGTTTCTTAACTGTTAGGCCTGGAACTGAAGCAAATATGACTCTCTTTAACTGACTTTAGGAAGAAAACTACTTTCATCCTTGGCTTTGGAGAAAATAGAGCAAAGAAAATCATCCAATTTTACAATTCTATAAAGTGATTTATCATCTTCTAAACTAAACATAAGTTGAAAGATAAGCTGCACAATTAAAGGACAAGAACATAAAGGAGATTGCTGTAGGAATTAGTGATGTTGGAGCGATGCATCGGAACAGAGGTTTCCAGTTCAGCTATCGGCTTGTTGCTTTTCCTCATTCCCTCTGCTTTAGTGTAACATCTTGGTTCATTGAGTTTCCTTTCAGAATGAAATAATAAAGGACAGAAGACTTTTACAATTGCAAATGACTGGCACAATTTTTTTAATATTAATAGCAACAAGCAATCACACTACTGAAAAGTACACATAAGTTGGATTCAATTCATAGTTTGTAAAATTGCTTAAAGCTCATATTTTACTCTGCTATTTCTGTTGCATACTGCTGCTCAGTTTACAGTGGTCTTGACACTGTTAGAACACAGTGGGAGTTGCTTTGAATTGCATTTTGTCTGTGAAAAGATGAAGGCACACCCAAAGATTGACATGAAACAAGGAAAGCAGTCTCTTTTTTTGCCTACTATCCTGGCAACAAGGAAAATGTGAGAAGGAACACTTTCTTTTAAACTATATGATTGACTCTCTTAATGTGAGGCAAACTGCCTCCTGTGAGATGAAGCACTAAAACATTATTATATTATCGGGCTGAAGCTTCCCAGAAAATTCTCTGTGTTAAAACATTTGTCTCAGTCAGCTTAAGTTCTATTTAGACATGTTGCAAGTGACAGTGGCACACTACAAATAAAATCAATAGGTACCTTTTTTGTATTTGAGATTCAATTGCTTTAACACAGACAGATAGACCTGTTTATTGAGGTTTAGCATATCACTTGTAGTCTTCTGCTGCAACTTCAGAACAGAATTGGACATTTCATCTGATGTTCCCCCTGGCAGTGTCTCAGAGATGCCAGGTGATGAGAAATACTTCTTGGTGATGATGGTTAGATGACTCCTGAGTACTGGGTGTAAAGATGGGATACTGACAGTCAGTCCATTGTCCGGGTTCCTTTCATCAACAGGACAAATTTTTTACAAAGCTCACTTTGTGGAAAGGCAGGAATCTCCCTGACAGTGTGGTCTGTACACTATGTGTTCATGAACCCTGTGCAGATCATTTTTCTTTAGCATACATATAGTCAACATGGAAGAAAAACTTACTCAAAGATTGCTAACACTTCCAACTCTGCATTTGTCTGCACTAAGGATGAGGGGTGAGACAGGGCTTGGGAGAATCAGGCTGGCACTCTTTTTCCTAGCAAGAGGAAAGGAGGTAAAAAGCAGTATTTCCCAGGACCAGCTGCTACATTTTCTGGATTTGCAAGGCTGTGGTATAAACTAAGGACGCCTAAAAATCACACACCTAGGATGATGCAGTCCTGTGTAACTAACTGCTTTTCTTTTGAATAGAGCCAACCCAGGGCCAGAAAAATAAATGGGGTGTTGACACAATATCAGAAGTCTGCTATCAGTAGTAGTTTTGTTAATGTATTTAATTTGAGATAAATTAATTTTGGCCTTTTATATTGAATGATTTCTTATAGTAAATGCATCTCGACTAAACTGTATATTACTTGTTACTCAATTCAGTAAACTACGTTCAATATAAAAGATGTTCTCCATGGAATAGTTAAAAGAGACCATACTGTTCTGATAGAATTGCTTTTAAACAATGCACCATATCCTAATACAACTGCCATTTTCTGACACTGAAAGAAGCAAGGGTGCCAAAATTCAGAGTTGAGCTGCACAATTCTGCTGGAGGTTTCCAGTTCCACACTTTCTCCAAGCTCTGTTATGTGAAATGTTAGAATATGAAAGGACTCATTTTAATATTTTATCTCGGGCTGCTTGTCACATGGAGTAGATCTCCATGAGAACATGAGTCATGTGCCAGAAGCAGGCAATGCTTTGTCTAACTACCTCCTACTCCCCACTTATCTGATAGACTGATAGACTCATTTCATTTCCATTCACCAAGGACTAAAGTGGCCAGTGGGAATCATGTTAGAAGAGTGAAAATTAGTGCTCTATAACTAAGAAGAAAAATGATCATATTTTAAAAGCTATAAAATCATGTTTAAAAAAGAATTTTAAAAAGTTGTAATATGCAGTTCACTGTTCCATCATGTCCAGTGTATCTCATAGTATCATGTCTGAGTCATTACTCACTGATGGCAACGCCTCAAACCTATTGTTTTAGAAAGATGTAAATGTTTCTGGTGATAAAAAAGACAAGCTTTTAGACAAGCTATGGCAAGTGTATTACTTTGCATAGAGAAAAATTTCTTCCCTGACCCCAGGAAGTGACAATTGTATATAACAAAGCGTAAGACTAGATTGTCATAGCTTAGTTATTGCAAATGTTATCCATAGTCATAAAATTATATAGACATTTTTTAAATTTAGCTATCCAGTGAGTTGAGTGCTTGCTAACAAGTGATTAATTCCTTTTCCTGTCACATGAAACAAGGCAACTTCTTTTTTAATTTTAATTTACAGTTCCTACACAAGTAAAAACATGGGTTAAATCGATGTAATTTAATGCCATAAAGCTTGATATGAAAGATCATCCTTTCATCCTTTGTAATCTTCAACTACTACACCATCAAATAAAGCTCTGCATTTTGAAGTCTTTGGTGGAAGCAGCATTGCACTGTTACTTTGTTAGTATACAGACAGTCATACAACACATAAGCTTAGATAAAATGAATACAACATATGCATTTGAATAAAATAGAATGCAATTAAGAACACAAGTTACTATTGTATTCTGTATGGGAATCAAGCAGCATTTTGCCATCTAGTTACCCCTTAATGCATACCAAATGCCTTTGCTGTCCTACCCCTAAGCACTTTTACTCTTTGAAAAGCACTTATGGTAGTCTGATAGAATTTGCTTTTCATTTGGATCTGTTTTGATCAGATAATGTGAATGATAAATGTTGGCTTTTAGTGATTTATTTTATAAGAACATTATGGATCTTAGAATGTAATCAGCATATAATCAGGAAATCTGTAATATAAACATTTATTGATCTTGAATAAGTACATAAATGCCAAATATGTTGGGGTTTTAGAGAAGATTATGCAAGCATTTTGGTGGTCATCAGTGCAAATTTTTTTAAGGTTAAGACCTACCATTTCCATTAAGCTTAAGGGTTTACAGATAACTTATGCCACCAGTCTGTAACTTTGCTATATTTTTACTTTTTTTTAATAAAAAATTAATTTCATAGCTCACTGATGATTTTTTTGAAGGTCTGTCAGGTCCTCTCTTTGCTCAATGCTTGAGAGTATCTATTTACTTTAAGAAACTCAGAGAACCAAAATATTTACAAAATATATTTTTCCAAGAGTACACTGGGAGAATCATTTACAGTAGCTATTTTTTCTGGATCACTTTAGTATAGGTGGTGCAACCAGTTTTCCTCACCATAAATTTTCATTATAAGTTATTCTTATGTTTCCTCAGTTCTAGTATTTATTGCATGTCTTTTGCACTCTATGAAGCAAACTGTAATGCAATTATTGCAACCTCAGCTTGTTGCAGGACAGAAAGCAAAAGAAGTAGGTCAGTGTGACCTTGTCTAAAATCCCTAGTTTTTAAAGTCCTGTATTTCTGTTTTAAAAGGTAAAATAGGATTTAATTAATTTTAATTGGAGTTTCTAGAGCTTTCCTTTTGCAGAAAAAGAGAGGTTATGACTACAACATCTACAGCAGTTTAATTATTATTGCCATGCTAACAAATGTATGATACCTAATCTTGCTACCATTGAAGACAGTAGCACAGAGATGGTATAAAAAAAGAATAGAAGTGTATTATGGGGAAGGAAAGGAGGGAGGGAGTGAGTTCTGTGTGCTTTTAAATGAACCGGTGAGTGACAAATTAAAGAAAACAACATTTAATTGTTTGCCTGTGCTATGTTCAGGGTGCAGAGGCAGAGTATGAAGATGGTGCAAAGCTCTACATAAGCTGTAGGGTATATTGTACCTGTATCTGTTAGGTAGTGCATAGATAGTACACAACATTAATGGCAGTTGTTCTTTGCCCACCATCAGTTACTTTAATGTCTGGGAGTAAAATGAAAATTCCACAGAGGAATTTACAGAGATGTTTATATGCATCCTTAGCCCATACTGAAACTAAACAATTCTTTGGAAGCTCTGTCTAATAGGTGAAGTACAGCACTGTCAGCCTAGTGTTTCCAGGTCAGATGCTGTTGAAAGCACTTGATATCTTTTCATTTGATAAAACAATAAATCAGAGATGACTGAACATGTCTGTCTAATGAGGACAGATCAAATATTCTTCTTATCTCTGAGATAATCCTTCTGACTGAAGAGTACAATAATTGCACTAAATAATATTTTTCTTTTTTACTAATGTAATCTGGAAAATAGTGACCACAAACTTATTCCATTATATTGATCTTCAGTATCTTCAGCATTACCCCAGCAACAGCTATTTTTCTTATTTTATTTTTATGAGATATGTGTGCTTGTGAATGTCTGACTTTGACTTTCCAAGTGTCTTCCTTTAAAAAAAAATACAGTCATTCAAGGCACTGTTCAGATGATATAATTCGTAGTACTGACTTCCTTATAGCTGCTCATTCAATACTTTTAACCTGAGAGTGCACTTTTGAATTCTAGATTGACTCACCAAAGTACATACACACAGTACATACAAAGTACATGTCCATTCCACAACTTAAACTTGTGTCACTACTACTCTTTTGGTAGCAATTTGTTGTCGAGAAAAACAGACCCAGGGAAACATGAAAGGGTTTCTAATATCTAGTGACAATTAAATTATAATAACACTAAATGGTCCATAATGTTCCTAAACTTTAAGAAGCTTCCATCCTTTTGAAGGACTGCTTCCAGAAGAATGACCAAAGATGCAAGAACAGTATCAAGAACCAGGCAAAGTGAAGTAAACCATAAATGTTTTAATGGAGTACATCGCTAAAAGAAATGAAAAAATATATCCACATCTCTTCCCAATTTTCATATTTAATTGGACATGCAGACAGATTTAAAAATTAAAAAGGAAAAAAGATAAACTATACATTAGGTTAAAAAAGAATCCTCTCAATTCAAGTGAGAAAGAAAAAAATGGAATGTTTAATAATTAGAGTATTTTCAAATTAAAAGGAAATCTCTGCAGAGGGAATAATTAAAAATGGATTAAAAATGTGGGGGTTTATGTATGCAGATTGGCCAATACTTTCATGGGAAAATGAGTAGACAAAAATACTGTCTCAGACACAAAACCTTTGCTAAATTAATACCTTGGTCAGAACTTCTGCCTTGCATTTCTCCTTCTCTTGGTCTTTCCCTTCACGTTCTCTCCATTTCATTAATATCTCTCTCTGGCTTCTGAGGCTTTCACAGTGTGTTTATCAAGTGAGCCAACTTTCCATTCGCCTTGAGAGACACCACAGTCCTGGAGGTGGAGCATGAAACTGGCAGAAGAGGGCTCTACTTTGTCCTTTCTTTATTTCTTGAGACATCTCAGTCTATGACATCCTTTTTTCTTTAGGTGTAGTAAAGGACTGAGATTCACTTATTATGAGAAAATATTTTAGTAGTGATAAGTTTAGCAAGTAAAGACAGAAATAATATTTTATTATCTATTCTATTTAATTTATACTTTTCCTTTCTGTTTTAATTTCTCATTTGCTCTCCTTACCCATAACTATTTCAAGTCAAGTTTTTCCTTTGTTTTGTGAAAATTTATCTTCTGACAACATAAAACAGCCATGAAGTATTCTCACAGCTATACAAAAATCAACAGTTGCCACTTAAGCTGAGCAAATTGCCTGAAGTGCTGAAGTTTTTGCAAGTATTTTTGCAAGTATGAGATGTATTTCAGATGTCATGAATGTTGACAACTCTTGCTATTTAATGCAGAACAGTGCACAATTAGTGCTACAAATATGTCATGCAGCAGGCAGAAGAATCTAGGTACTCCAATCTACTCACACTTGATCTATTAAACTATTGGCAGCCAGGTTGGCTGTCTGAGCAGAGATGGAACGGCTCTGGAGCCTGACTTATCCTTTTTATTTATGCACTGGTCTTCCTATCCATCTGATGTTAAAGCTGTGAGCACAGTGGAAAGGAACTGATTTAATTGACATGATGCTCATTAGGACTTTTAGTTCCACATAGATTTAGTAAAATCATGCTTAACACCACATACAGAAACCACCAGTTGAAAGTCTAGCCGTGTTGTATTTTATTCATGATTCCTTGATGGGAGAATAAACACAGTCCAGTTCGTTGTGCTGACCTAGAAATCTAGCTGGACTATTCAATAGTAACTCCTCTTGTTTCAAAATAACCTGTAATACCATGGAATAGAAACAAACCTTTGTTGGTTGGGTTTTCCAAAAATAGGATAAATGTCATGAGGAGAATAAATTTTTCTGCCATCAGCGTCTTAGTCTGTCTGATCTCTGAACTATGAATTGCAGTATCATTCATCTAGTGTCATTCTTTTCCTCAATAACTTAAATGTATTTATAAAAAGAACTCTTTTCTTAAAAAATAAAAAAAAAAGAAGAAGTAATGGACATGTTTATAAAACCAAACTTCAATGTCTAAGAAACACTGGGCAAGACAAAATAAGACAGATGACTTTTTAATATATACGTGATTTTTTAAAGAAAAAAAGTCTTTACTCTTAGTTAGTTGATAAAAATCATCAATTTTGGATAATGACTGAATAGACTTGTCTACATCCAGTTGCATTTCATATTTAGAGAGATGAATATTACATGTTGGAGTAAACAATGACACCCAGTGGCTGTATTGACTCAAGGCCTGTCTGTGTTCTGGAATTTCTCAGCATGTTGCTATTTTTTTACTTAGCGTGGGGTTTTTTGGGGGGTTATTCTTTTTTTTTTTTTCCCACAATAATAATGACACAATAAATATGTTCTTTGGAGCCAAATGACCCAACAGGTTTGACATACAAAGCTTCATCTCTCCAGTGAAAGAAACGTTCATCAATGACAAGAGTCATAAATATAGATCTATACAAATTGTGCTTATTGAAGAAACTGACTGTCAAAACTGCTGGAGCACAAGATATACTAGATTGGTATGGCAAGGACAATAGTGGATATTCATGCTGTTTTCCATAGAGGTTTTGGTTTGCTGTGTGCTATTGTGCTAACCTCAGGGAAAAAACCAACAACCCAAATCCAGCAAAACCCCACAATCTTTCTCCTGCAGTCACCCCCAACTGCCCCAAAAACCCCCAACCAAAACCGAACAAGAGCAGCGTAGAGCCTATATTAAGGGCAAAAAGGATTTTAATGAGTTATAGTTTATCAGTAGATATGGGATATCTGACTCCAACTGAGACCAAAGCAAAAGCCAAGAGCAGCTGACTCTAATGAAATTGGCTAGAAGATGTAGATCTGGAATGCATTATCCGGTTCTAACTTGCATGCCATGAAACCACATATTTATTACTTTAGACTTCTGAGGAGCATCAGTCACTGAATGATCTCTTGGAACAAAGCTAGTATGTAATTTCTGTCATGAGCTGAACTAGCATCTGGTCTTATTGCAGGCCTTGTCATTGATCTAGAAATAATGAAGTAATTTTTTTAACACATTTTGTCTCATAAAATACTGATTTTCTGAAAAATACAATACAATTGTAGATTTGGCTTTTCTCTTTTTCTCCCATTCCTTGCTTCTCTGCCTAAAACTGCCATATTGGCAATCCAAGACAGCGAAGCAGCATGATGCAGAGGAAAATTACTCTATTTTCTACCTCAGTGTTGAGAAAAGCAACGATAAATGTAAGCCAACATTATATTGAATAGACCCTGTGATGAAGTTCAGTAAGAACTATTCATGATTCATGTGGAATCATTGGTGAAAGGTTCAGCCAGAAAGATAATGTGCTAAGGCATTTTACAGGGAACAACAAAACTTCATGCCTGAGGAGGACAGAGAGGATTGCAGTGTCTACTACACTTTGGAAGGTAAAGATGTCCTTCAACAGGTGGTAGATGGGAGACTCACAACAGAAAGTAGACCTAGTAATTCCTAAGAGAGAATGAAGAACTGCTGACAGGCAGAGCCTGTTACAGATTCTGCTAGGAGTTAGGATCACCTGCAAAGAGTGATACTCTCTTCTGTTGCTGTTCAGTGTAACCAACCTGCAGTGCACAATGTATGAGTCATCCTAAATACAGTAAAAACAAGGAAAAAAATGACTGCGTGAAAAGAGGAGTAGGTATGGAGGAATCAGTTGTGGTTTGAGAGTGTTTAAAATATAAATAATAAATTAATATTAGCCAGTAAAATTTTTAACACTTTATTATAATACTTTTCCTCTCAACTACTCTATACTTACATCTCAAAATCTGTTTTCAGACTGAGTATCTTATCAAATTAATCTAGATAATTTCATTACCATTCTCTGCTTCATCAATTTTTAACTATTTCATGCAATTTCTCTTGGCTGCCAAATTTCCACTAACATGGAACATCTAGAATGCCCTCTATTATTGCCCAGTTATCAGTCTGAAGACCTATGGTAGGACTAGCATGATTTAAAAAGAAATCTGTTAGGTTCCAAATTAATTGAACCAACATGACTGTGAATTATTAAAAATGGTGAAAAAGAAGAAATACTAAAATTTCCAATTCATGCTGAGAAACTGTTTTAGTGAGATGGTTTCTGTGTCCTTATGAATATCTGACTTTCAGGGCAATCTGCTCTACTGCCTCACTGTCTTCATGGGAAAATTTTCTCTTTCTATCCTGTTCAAAACTCTCTTCAGTTTATTCCTGGACCACAAAAACTCCTCTTGGCTAACAAAGATCATGCTGCAACTCAAATCAGTGAAAATTTCGTGATTGGTTCCCATAAGAACATGGTATTTCCCTGTTGCTTGTTTTCATTAACATGATTGCTGAGACGTCTCCATGGCCACAGTCTTCCTCAAAGTGAAAATTAATCAGATGAGTCTCTGAATTCACAACCATTGTCTTTGTTTCTTCTCCTTTCTTTACAGCCTACTTCTACAGATTAGATGTAGAAATACTCATGACAGTAAAGACTGGGGAATTTCTGTTCTTCAGATTCATTAAACTGTATCTCCTGTGTGATACATTGGACAAGCTTTTCATTTAAAAAGCAAGTGAAATCAAGCTGTCAGTTCTGTTCAATAAGAATCAAATGAAGAACACCAACAACGACAACAACAAAATGTAATTGTAACAGCAACAGCAGCTGTCTCTTCATGGGGTGCGCGTAAGACACTATACAGAGCTTTCCTGAGACAAAAAAGACAACATCCCCCTAATCCTAACACTAGAAATGAGTAGTCTATGAAAGAACCCTTATTTCCCTCCCAAATTGCTGGAGGGATTTGTGAAACCTAGTAAAACCTACTGCTGCTACAGCTGTCACCCACACTTACCTCTTCTCAGTTAGAGAGCACAGCTGAGACCTCTGTCTCTCTATATGGCCTTTACAGTCATGCCACACATTGATTTAATTATACCACCAGGCTGACGTGTCCTGAGAAAATGCTCTGCAACTGGGCAGGATGACTTTCACCCTCAGAGCAGGAGAAAACATCTCTCACAAGGATGGCATTTTTTAACCAACAGTGATTTACTTTTTAAGAATAGCCCACCATTATAATAAAGTATTACAATTGCAATAAAAAAATACTGATTTTACAGGGACCCATATGTATGTATGGTTGTACATTTAATATTCCTTTTAATGCACATTTTCATAGTTTTATTTTGTTCATCCTAAGGAGCAGAAAAGTAGAAGTGTTATCACTGAGTTTTCACTTCTCTTTTTTTTCTTAGGATTCCCTTTTCTCATTGTCCAAAACTCCCCCAAAATCTCCTAGGCCACCAGTCTTTCTGCGTAAAAAGGTAGAAACGTGAGGTTGAAAAGAAGAAAAACAACTTTTATTGAGATACTGTGAGGGAAAACCAAAAAGGCAAATTCTTCCAAATAATTTGCACAGGCTTCTGGGCAAAGGCTTATGTACTGTACTCAGGGAGTTTAATCAAAGCACTAAGAAGACGTGAGAGCAGCATGAACAGAACTGTGTGTTTATCACTGCTCCCAGCTGGATCCTCCAGCCAACCCAAATTTAGAAAGTACATGTTTTGGCTTCATCAGTGAGTCATATGATAACAATTAATTTCTTGTTACACAAAATTTAGAGGCTGTGAAGACACAGGATAAACAAGGGATAGCAACTTTCTTTGTTGCAAAAGAATGTCACATCTTTTGATACAATGCCTTCTCAAAAATATAAATCTGATGTTATCAAACTTCAGAAAATGCAGGAATAATTAGGATGTGAATTCTAAAGCTATCTGAAATATTACTTTTTACTGTTCTTTTTAATTTGTGTGTTTACCCGTGATGGTCACTATTGTCCTCTTCGTTAGCACAATTAGTGTATACAAGATGTGATACAAGCACTTCAACAACCTGGCCATAACAGCAATTTTAAGACTGTAGACCCTGCTCTATGACATCAGCAATTTTTAGATTGCAGATTCTGCTCTATGACATACTTCAAGAAGACTTATGAAGTGTCAACAGCTCTTCTCCTTTTTAATGAGAAAATTCTAAGTTTTTTTCTCCCTTAATAATTTAATCAGTTTCTTTTTTTCAAGTTTCGCATTACAAAAGACCTGAAAGATAAGGTCAGTTTGTAGCAGCTGGGCCTAAAATTCATACCATATTGAATTCAAGCATCTTTATAATGTTAATTCTTTAACTACTATACCAAAAGATGTGTTAAATAAACTTCTTAAATATGTTAACTCATTTAATTTGCAAAAAGTTTTGGATACACAGAAAGAAGTTTCTCAAGATTTTAACAGTTGTAGAAAATAAACTCTTCTAAAACAGACCAGGATCTGATATCTCAAAAAATGAAGCATGCAAATAAGGGATCATACTGGAAAATGTGAGCTATAACCATTCTTAATCATAAAAATGTAGATAATGATTCTTATCATGCTCCAAGGATGATGCAAAAATTAATCTGCTAACGAGGACAAGATAGCGATTTTGTCAGTTAAGTGTTATGAA